ATCGATGGATCGATAGATAGATAGATAGATAGATAGATAGATAGATCGATCGATAGATAGATAGATTGATAGATCGATAGATAGATGGATAGATGGATAGACGGATAGACGGATAGACCGATGGATCGATGGATAGATGGATAGACGGATAGACCGATAGACCGATAGACCGATCGATAGATAGATCGATACATCGATAGATCGATAGATGGATCGATGGATCGATAGATCGATCGATCGATCGATCTATCGATCTATCGATCGATCGATCGATCTATCGATCTATCGATCGATCGATCGATCTATCGATCTATCGATCGATCGATCGATCTATCGATCTATCGATCGATCGATCGATCTATCGATCTATCGATCGATCGATCGATCTATCGATCTATCGATCGATCGATCGATCTATCGATCTATCGATCGATCGATCGATCTATCGATCTATCGATCGATCGATCGATCTATCGATCTATCGATCGATCGATCGATCTATCGATCTATCGATCGATCGATCGATCTATCGATCTATCGATCGATCGATCGATCTATCGATCTATCGATCGATCGATCGATCTATCGATCTATCGATCGATCGATCGATCTATCGATCTATCGATCGATCGATCGATAGATCGATAGATCGATCGATCGATAGATAGATAGATAGATCGATAGATAGATCGATAGATCGATAGATCAATAGATGGATCGATGGATCGATAGATCGATAGATAGATAGATAGATAGATGATAGATGGATCGATAGATCGATAGATGGATCGATGGATCGATAGATCGATCGATAGATCAATAGATAGATAGATGATAGATAGAATCGATAGATAGATCGATAGATCATAGATAGATCGATAGATCAATCGATAGATGGATAGATGGATAGATGGATCGATGGATCGATAGATCGATAGATCGATCGATAGATGGATAGATGGATAGATGGATAGATGGATAGATGGATCGATGGATCGATGGATCGATAGATGGATAGATGGATCGATCGATAGATGGATAGATGGATCGATGGATAGATAGATAGATGGATGGATGGAATAGATGGATCGATGGATCGATGGATCGATCGATAGATGGATAGATGGATAGACAGATCGATAGATAGATCGATAGATCGATAGATCGATCGATGGATCGATGGATCGATGGATGGATAGATGGATAGATGGATAGATAGATCGATAGATAGATCGATAGATGGATAGATGGATAGATGGATAGATAGATAGACTTTCAGAAATCATTCTAATATGCTGATTTGGTACTTCAGAAACATTTAATATTATTATGAATGTTGAAAAAAGTTTTGGCTATTTAATATTTTTGTGGAAACTGTGATTCACTACAATTTAAAAGTTTAGGGAGAAAAAAAGGAAATTAATATTCAGCGAGGATGCACTTAAATTGATCAAAAGTGACAGTAAAGATCTTTATAATGTTACAAAAGATTTATATTTCAAATAAATACTATTCTTTTGATGTTATTTGACACATTTTAATCCAGTTTGTCCAGAATTTAGTATACGGTAGTGCATTTAATTTTTGGTTACTCAACTAACTATATAGTTACTCATCAAATATCCAAATATTTATTTATGGAATAATTTCACATAACCTACCTATATGTCAATGAATAAGAGTTGTTGTTTTTTATAAAACTTTTTTTTTGAATGAAAAGCTGTAGCATTTACAATTTTCCCAGTGAATTTTGATTATTTTTTAATCAATTTAGTTCCAAATATGTATCACTGGTCCACTGTGAAGACCTTACTCTAGTTAACCTAAATATCACAACAGTGCAAAACTTACATTGTTATTATTAAACTTTTCCTTATGACACAACAGAGGCGGATGGGTGTTGTGCTAAAGTTGCAAGGTTTTCCAGGAGTCCTAATTAATTATGCAAGATGGGTGTAATTATGATGCAGTGAATGGATCCACGGCAGAAGGTGCGAGGCAGTGAGGCTTAGAGATTTGCATGCTAAGTGAGTGGGGGAGTGACTAATGCATGCTAATGCTGCGTGGCCAATGTGCTTTCATTTGCCTGCTTGCAGCTGTGCTCTATGATTTCATTAAGGGCTCAAATGTTTATCATGTAGTTAAAGTGAAAAGGGAAAGGATGGGTTCTGTGTCAAAAAAGTTTCCAGGCAGCAACAAAAGATTGTTTATTAAGAGAATAGATCTGTGTCATGATGATCTGTGAAATATGTAGGCCTACTTTAGTTGAATTCAAAGTTTAAATATAGTTCAATCATGACAACTCTCGGAAGATTTTAGCATGGTGATGGATATGACTATATTAATGTATTTGGTCTTGGCGGAATAGATCTGCTATGCTGCTGCTGCTGTTGGTTACTGCTGTATTTGTAGATTTTTGTTGCTGCTGCTGCTGCAAGCAAGTACAGGAACTTGCTACTGCCAATACATAAGCCGATACGGTGCTGTGAGTATTTAAGACATACTGCTGCTGCACAAATAGCATATAAAATAACCCCGCAGATCTATACAGGTGGAGCTGTTGGAGGTGGAGGGTTTTCAGAGAACTCTGAAAGCGTGCTACAATGCTCAAACGAATGCTAATCAGCCATTTAAATGTACGTGAACAACGTGAACCAATCAGCTTGTGACAAGTCGTTTAGTGCTAAGAATATCATCAGTTAAGTTAAGTATCAGCCTGCGCCATCTAGACACTTTTGATGTAATCTAACGAACTGGTTTGCAAACGTTTGTTTGCAATTCAGTTTGATTCATTCAGACAGTTCACTCATGCACGCACTTTCCAACAATTTCATTCAAACAATATGGGAAGTGTTTTCTCCTCCGTTTTAAAAGTAGATAGACATGTGTTTGTTTGTGTTAGACTAAATGAAGCAGGCCATTCCTTCCTTGAATTAAACTTATGTGGCTTACAGTTTGTCTGTTTCTTTGTGTGTGTTTCCCATAGATTTTTCTTGAAGTTTTTCCTAAAGTGCAATCAAAATTGTCTGAAGACAGCAGGGAACCCCCGAGACATGAGAAGATTTCAGGTATCGATCATGCATATGCAAAAAAAATGATTTCGCAAAATGCAGAGATGTTGTAGAACCCACAGACTTTATTCCTTTTTGCTGAAGAAAAAAAATCTAGTTTTATTTCCAGTAAAAACACACAAGCATCCTTAAAACAGTGTATCTTTTTCTTTTAAAGATTGAACAAGACAAAACAACTGTATATTCAAGACACTGAAAAAATTTCTTAAGGATTTTTTTTTTTACTGCAAAACAAGACAAATACTCTAAATATTAAGAATAGGTTTTGTTTGCAGTTTAGTGGTAGCTTTTCTCATGTATTTCTGGTAACATATACAGCAGTTCTTCTGGGGCCGATTGTGTCTCCATGTAGTTTTAGATGAACAGAGTGTGTGATTTATATTAAGTGTTTAAATACAATATCTCATAAGAGAGAGGGAGTGATCAGAATTAAATAAAAAAAAGCTGAAGAAGCAAGGATCATCAGGAAATCAGCCAAGGTGCTTCAGGAAGTTGAGTGATGGGCTCCAGATGGGAAAGGTCAGGCTCTGTGACCCAGGAAGTGCTCACTGGGGACCCTCCTGCTCTACTTCCTCCCTCTTGTCTTTCACTACTGGAGCAACTATCTGACATTTCCTCCCTCACTCTTCATTTCCATGCTGTCCTTCCTTATTAATTTTTGTGCATTTATTTACATATGGAATGTAATGGAGTGTGACATTTCTTCTTTTGGAGCGTCTTTGCAGCATCCCTCATTTCTATCCCACATTTCTATGTGTTGTGTCTTTAGCTCTGCAGTCTTTTGCACATGCGAGCACTGATATTCTCAGTTGCATCATATTATATTAACTTTGTTCATCTCTGATTCTTTATATTAACATCCAATTGAATCCACATTAGTATGTGGTTTGAAACCCACTTAAAACAGTATTTTTGGAAATGTGTCTGAGTTTGAAAGGCCACATTGGATGTCAAGTAGGTTTTTAATAATGGGCATACATGATGTGATATATGAGCTTGTCAATGTTTTTTTAACCATCAGGAGAAATCACGTCAAATTCATTGATGCCTTTTTGGTCGAGACTTTCGTTGTGCAAGATGAATGATGAACCCAAGCAGCTACTGATCATTTCTAAACATGTTGAAAAAATTATTTTATCCAAAGCTATGGCAGCAATAAGTAATGCAACTCTGACTCCATGTTTAAAAGTCAATAGTACAATAACGGCTTATGAATATATGAATTTAGTTCCTATATGAGATGTCAGGATGAACAAAAGTCATCAATGTGGCAAGTAATGTACATACTGCATATTTTTTAAAGTAAAACTGAGATCTGGATACTTTTGTCCGCTGATAAAAAGAAGAAAAAGTGATGGCATAAATCAGATGGAAAGATGGGAAAAAGAGTGAGAGTGTAAATGAGATTATTAGGAAAAGAATAAAGTTGACCCTGGAGCACAAAACCAGTCACAAGGGTAAATTTTTCAAAATTGAGATTTATGCATCATCTGAAAGCTGAATAAATAAGCTTTCCATTGATGTATGGTTTGTTAGGATAGGACAATATTTGAAATCTGGAATCTGAGGGTGCAAAAAAATCTAAATATTGAGGAAAATCATCTTTAAAGTTGTCCAAATTAAGTTCTTAGCAATGCATATTACTAATCAAAAATTAAGTTTTGATATATTTGCGGTAGGAAATTTACAAAATATCTTCATGGAACATGATCTTTACTTAATATCCTAATGATTTTTGGCATAAAAGAAAAATGGATAATTTTGACCCATACAATGTATTGTTGGCTATTGCTACAAATATACCCCAGCGACTTAAGACTGCTTTTGTGCTGCAGGCTCACAAATGATTCAGCCAGAGCTATAAAACTGTGCATTTTAAATCAGCAGCAGTAGAAGTTTCTAAAGATGACACTGCAATGATATAATTTAAGGAGTTTTTAAAGTACTACATGAATCTCCTCCTTCAAACTCTTTTTGTTATCAATAAATCTTTCTTTGCATTCCAATAGGTGGTTCTGTCCACTACAGTCAGTGTGGACGGTCCCGTCCTAGCCATTTCTGACAACATGTTTGTGCACAACAACTCCAAACACGGACGCCGCTCTCGTAGAACGGATTCGAACGAGATGGTGGAGACTTGCATGGAATATGGTGAGATTCACAAGTAATGGCATTGAAATGACATTAAAAAAAGAAGAGGTTTGCATTAATCCACAGTTATATACAAGGGGAGGAAGGTTTTAACCACGAAGTTGGAAAATGAGCTTGTGCTCTTGAAAGAGTAGAATAGCTCTGTGGTCACTGAGGGATGCTTCTTAGACCCCGAGTAATAATTTCATGCATCTTTAATGCCATTTTCATTTTTGTGTTTCTCCACTACAGCTGCTCCCTGTATCAAAGCCATCAGCCCCAGTGAAGGCTGGACTACAGGCGGGGCTATGGTGATTGTGATCGGGGAAAACTTCTTCGACGGTCTGCAGGTGGTGTTCGGGAGCATGCTAGTGTGGAGCGAGGTATGCATTGGTAGTGTATATCGAAGCAAGCTTTGACTTGCAATAAGGAAAGCTTTTGTAATATCTTAAGTTTGAGTACCAACAGCCTGTAACAATTAACCTTCAGAGCTTGTCATTATTCCTGCAGTTAATCACTCCTCATGCAATCCGAGTTCAAACTCCTCCTCGACACATTCCAGGGGTTATAGAAGTCACACTGTCTTACAAATCTAAGCAGTTCTGTAAAGGAACCCCGGGCCGCTTCATTTATACAGGTGAACACAAACCCAGACAAAGCGTGTATTATTAAACTAGTTCCTCTCCATGTTTAATGTCCCATGTTCAGTTTGTAGACTGACTTCTTCAAGAGTGGAAGCACTGTGGCTCTTTGCCGCTTTCAGAACACCAAAACATTGCTATGTTTGTCATCTTCTGGCTCATCCGATAGAAGTTTGGAGTTTGGCTGAACAATGCAAAATGGCAGAGAGCTTGGAAGAACTTTTTGGAAACAATTATTATTTGTGACCCTGGAGCACAAAACCAGTCACAAGGGTCAATTTTTGGAAATTGAGATTTCTGCATCATCTGAAAGCTGAATAAATAAGCTCTCCATTGATAGGACAATATTTGGCTGAGATACAACTATTTGAAGATCTGGAATCTGAGGGTGCAAAAAAAAATCTAAATATTGAGAAAATCATCTTTAAAGTTGTTCAAATGAAGTTCTTAGCAATGCATATTACTAATCAATAATTAAGTTTTGATATATTTACGGTAGGAAATTTACAAAATATCTTCATGGAACATGATCTTTACTTAATATCCTAATGATTTTTGGCATAAAAGAAAAATGTATAATTTTGACCCATACAATGTATTGTTGGCTATTGCTACAAATATACCCCAGCGACTTAAGACTGCTTTTGTGCTGCAGGGTCACATTTTTCAAATTCTGTTTGGTGCCACTAGTGAAGAAGACATACTTCATCTTTAACAATTTGTGTACACAAGACTAATAATAATACTGAGGACGAGAGTGTTTCCGTTTCCTGACCTGATTCCGTTTTATGAACTACATACAATGGGATTTATGCAGACAGTGGAATATGTAGAGGGATGTTATAAAGACAAATGGATTCTCACTTAGTATGATTATCTCTAGCGCTGAATGAGCCAACTATTGACTACGGCTTCCAGAGACTTCAAAAGCTGATTCCTCGACATCCTGGTGACCCCGAAAAATTGGCAAAGGTTAGTAAATGCTGCTACATGCATATAACCGTTAATACATTTTTTACTCTCTCTGACATTGATTTTCTCTGTCTTAGGAAATGTTACTTAAAAGAGCAGCAGAAGTTGTTGAATCACTCTATGGAAATACCACCAGCAATCAGGTAACCACTGAAGTGCAGTAGATATAGAATACTGTCTGTGGCATGGGAAGCAAATATTGTATGCGTTAAACATACAATGGAGTCCAAATGTCTCAGATGCTTTTATTTAACACATTCATTTTTTCTTTCATTTCACGAGACATTATCAGCACAGCAGTTTGGGTAATAACTGAACTAAAAGACTTCTGAAAACATTAATTCCATGATTTGTTTTTAAATTTAGTTCCCCTGTTTCACAAGTTTTCCTTGATGATCTCAAGATGAATATTATTCAACATAAAATAAAAAAAAATATTCCATAGTGCATCATTTGTGCTTCAGTGGAAGCAAAGAAATTTGGTCAATGAAACAAATTAGCTTATTTGTAAGTTTATAGCTACATGTTTCCAGTTCTAACAACACATATTTAATTACTTAAAGGGATAGTGCACTCAAAAATGAAAATTCTGTCATCATTTGCTGACCCTCAAGTTGTTCCAAACGTGTGTGAGTTTCTTTATTCTTTTGATTATAAAAGAAGATATTTGGAAGAATGTTGATAACCAAACAGTTCATGGTAGCCATTGACTTTCAATACTATATAAGTCAATGGCTACCGTCAACTGCTTGGTTACCAACATTCTTCAAAATATCTTCTTTTGTTTATCAACTTGAGGGTGAGGAATTAATGATAATTTTTAGGTAAACTATCCCTTTAACATGAGTCATATCACCCAATAGTTTTTCCTGCTGTGCACCAAAACATTTCTTTGATATTGTGTTGGTGCAGGACATGTTGCTGAAACGGGCTGCAGATATATCCGAGGCTTTGTACAGCGTGCCACGACCTCACAGTCAGCTGCAGGCCATGCCGAGTTCCCCGGTCCATGGCAGCGTCATGGGCCTCAGCTCTTATCCCACACAGCTGGCTGTAAGCATTGGAGAACCTGGGCAAACCAGCAGCCAAGGTTAGGACCGTCAGACAAGTACCCTACGATTCAGAAGTCTGAATCTCATCTCAACACATTTATTAGAATGGTTATGCTTGACTTTTCATATGAACACCAACCTTTGTGAGACTTATTCCATTTGAACAGTTTTAAGAGTTGAATGTTTTTTTTTTTAAATAGTAATAATAGTAGTGCCGGACAAAGTGTACAAATCAAGTACTTGAATAAAAGCACAGATACCATAATAAAGAAATAATCCAGTAAAGTACAACCTTTTAAATTTTACTTAAGAAAGCGCAAAAGAACTTGGTTCTTTTTAATGTGGAGGGGTATTATAAGTAAGTTTTGCAAAATAAAAATACTCTCAAATAAAATTACTTCAATAACAAAGTTGAAATACGATCAATCACCCTTGGATTATAATAATCCTTGAATTTATGTTATGCTGAATATTAAAGGTTTATGTTGTAACCTCCAGAATAGAAGCAGAGGTTATTTTGTTGTGTTCTTATTTAATTGTTAGAAATAACTGAGATATTATCAAATAACTGCATTCAAACATCTTAATTATTTACCATAACCTATTGAATGATAATACATTAATGCATAGGCTTATACAATTAATCTGAATTCATAGTCAGAATTTATGCTATGACATCCCTTTAATTAATTAAAAATATATGAATAAATGATATCAGATTTAACGTTTAGATGATTTCCAATCTCCAATAATTTTGCTTTTTTTCCATTTATTTCCATAAGTCTTAAAATAAATGCTCACATTTTTCATGCCATTTAAATGCTATTGTTGAAGTAAACGTTCAGTGAAATTGCCCATTTTATATAACTTCAGTTTAACTACTTTTTTTGTGTAACTAATTGACAAAGTTAATGTGCTATTTAATTAAACATGTTTTTCCTTGTGTTTAATTTGGGTTACAAGTCTCACTCTCTAACCATTAGGCCACGACTGCCCCTGACCGACCGGCTGTGTTAGTATTGTGATTTCTCCTGTTTTTATTCAAGGTTACACCCGCAACCCAAGCGGTTTGTCCCTGCGGGGCTACCCTTCAGCATCGACCCCTCAGCAGTCCTGCTATGGATCCAATGGAGGCATGAATGTGAGTTACGGGGCAGTGCCCATGAGTAGTCTGGGTGTTTCAGGCTCACCTGGCTTTAACAGTGCCTCCCCAAACAGCTCTCCTTATGCTAGTGAGTTTCAGCTTTGTTGTCTTTTACTCACAGTTGCTTCTGCTGAAAATACAGTATGCATTTTGACAATCAAAGAAGTCTTTTGTTCTAATCAAAACACTCTTTTTTTCAGTCATGCCCTCTAGCCCCACTGTACCAGGCTCCAGTTCCTCATCCTCCCTCTTGTCCTTCACATCTTTCCCATCCTCGACCAAACAAAAAAGTGCCTTTGCTCCTGTCCTGAGACCACAGGGTTCTCCATCACCTGTCTGCCACACCTCAGGAGGCCCCAGCTTTAGAGGTACGACTGTTGTTCACAGATCTTCCTTATAACATTTCCAAAAATGCTCCTGTAGACCCTCAGCTCTTTAGTTTTCCATAAAAGGTTTTGGTAACACTTTAGAATAGGGAACACTTATTCACTATTAACTACAACTTTTCCCTCAACAAATTCCTAATTTGCTGCGTATTAATAGTTAGTAAGGTAGTTATTGGGTAGGATTAGGGATGTAGAATAAGACATTAATATGTGCTTAATTACTACTAATAAATGGCTAATATTCTAGTAATATGCATGCTAATAAGCGACCCTAAAATAAAGTGTTACCAAAGTTTTTTATAAATTACTAATCATAAATTATTTACTTTCAACTTTCCAAATTCTGTTTGGATACTGTACTGATTAAAGGAAAAGTTCACCCAAAAATGAAAATTTGCTGATAATTTACTCATCCTCAGGTCCATCCGAGATGAAGATGAGTTTGTTTCTTCATCAGGTTTGTAGAAATGTAGCATTGCATCAGTGTCTCATCAATGGATGCTCTGCAGTGAATGGGTGCCGTCAGAATGAGAGTCCAAACAGATGATAAAAACATCACAATAATCCACAAGTAATCCACACCACTCCAGTCCATCAGTTAAAGACAAAAGCTGCGTGTTTGTAAGAAACAAATCCATCATTAAGATGTTTTTATCTTTAAACCGTTGCTTCCGGTAAAGTCCTGTAACAATAATATTGCTTTCTCCAGTGACAAAGTTGTCTCATCTGAGTCAAGAGAGAAATATGCAGAGATTAGACAATATATCTGATTAAGCAAATATGAAGACTTTTTCACTGGGGGAAGCATTTAACTGATGGACTGGAGTGCTGTGGATTACTTGTGGATTATTGTGATGTTTTTATCAGCTCTCATTCTGACGGCACCCATTCACTGCAGAGCATCCATTGCTGAGACACTGATGCAATGCTACATTTCTCCAAACCTGATGACGAAACAAACTCATCCTAATCTCGGATGAACTGAGGGTGAGTACATTTTTGGGTGAACTTTTCCTTTAAATGTCATGTACAAGTATAATATTTTGTGTGTCAACAGTAACTCGATGCAGGCATAACATAGTAACTGTTTATTGAATCATCTCTTTGATATAGCTATGTTGTCAGCTATGTATTATTAAACAATCTGAGCCTTCATCGTCATCGTCGTGTGTATCTACAACCTTGTGTGACAAGCTACACGTTACTGTTATTGAATATAACCTCTTTTATTTTTCCCTTCGTTTCCAGCAATGACAGGCCTTGTGGTTCCCCCAATGTAGAAGATGAGCCTTTCCAGTCATAAGCTCTACAGTCTGAACTAGACTGACACCAACGTTGTCTCCGTGAAAAAGATACAGTTGTCTAATCTTCTGATGAAGAGAATTAGAGACAAAAGCATTTGGGAACCTTCTTAAGACGTATCCACTCTATGCACACTGCTTGCCTCTGATTGTGAGGAGGTTGCCAAAGGGATGGTGTTACTTAAAGGTTCTTCCAGCCACAAAATGCCAAAAGACATATAATTTATCATGAAACATGAGACTTAAGACTGTTACACATGTTTGGCCATGTGCTCTGGACAGACACACTGGTCAATAGACTTTCACCGCCAGTAAAAGGGATGTCAAAGATTGTTTACCATATGCTTATAGCTCTACATCCCTAAACTGAAATTGTGTTTTTAAAAGCATATATCAGGCTTTTTTTTGATTTAGAGAAACAGAAAATGTCTATTTAGGTTTAGATTTATGAACTGATTACCTCATATATTGACTTATTTAATGACAAAAGCTATATAAGTTATATTTTTAGGTTAAGTACTAATATAAGGAACCATTTGCTAATGTTATTGTTATCTAATTGTATTTGTTTTTCTGTAAACATTTTGTCATTCATATTAAAGTAGCGACTGTAGATTTTTACATGTAAAAGAGTTTTGTTGTTAAATTTACAAACATTTATTTTCCAACTTCTTTAGAAAAAAAAGCATATGCTTTGTCAACAATAGCTCAAGAGGACGAGAAAATCAAGGATTAAGTAGTTTTGTATATTCTGATCATAAAAACAGTGCTGAAGTAATCACTTCCACTCTTCACATTAGTGTTAGTGTCCCTTCGAAATATTTCTGACATTCATTAACATCTCAAGGCATTTCTTTCTCTTCCACATATTTGCCATCTATTTATTCCTTTCGGTAAACATCAACGAGTTTGTTTTTCATTTTTTATGTCATTCCAAACAAACCAAAGACAGGGCTGTAGTTAAAAGAATAGTTTTACCTAAAAATGAAAAATTGCTGAAAATGTTTCACCCTCAGACCATCCAAGATTAGGATGAATTTGTTAGAAATGTAGCATTGCATCAGTGTCTCAGCAATAATCCACTCCACTCCAGTCCATCAGTTAATTCACAGTGCATTAATGTTAACAAGCACAACTTTTGATTTTAATAATGCATTAGTAAATGTTGAAATTAACATTAACTAAAATTACTGTAATAAATGCTGTAGAAGTGCATTGTCCATTATTAGTTTATGTTAACTAAAGTGTTACCGACATATTAAACCAGGTGTGTTATCAAGTGTATCGAAAAGTGTATTGAGTGATAGAGAGCTTCAAAAACGGTTATGCAACAGTCCCCTATATAGAAGATTATAGAAATAGCTTTGGTAAACAGGATCAGTAAATTAAATTCTATTTTGACCATCAAATTTACGTTATACATGAAAACAACATCTGTTTAACAAACACAATGCACAAATCAATGCATGTATGTTCAGGAATGGCTAAACATATTCTATCCGAATGTTTCTCTGTATTGATGAAAACCGTCACCAGACAGTGAATATGATCAATTTATTTGAAGTGAAGAATGCACACATGTAATGCTTTTTGCTCATTCTCATTAACAGTAAGTTAGAAGAGCCGTTTAAATAAATACATACCTGATATTCTGCCCTTTCCTCACAGGATATGTTATTTTAATCTCAGTAAATAATTAGCTCTAAGGCCACTACTTTGACACGGCCAACAGCCTGCATAAATAAAATGACCATGCGAATGAATGCATATAAAACGTTCTGCTGTGATACCTACCGAGCTGCTAAATATTGTGGACAAAGGGAGCTAAATGGGGTTAAAGGTCTGTGCTATTAAGCTATTATTATTATTATTATTATTATTAATATTTTAAACTAAAGTCCGTTTGCCACATTTTTGACAAATCCTTACATTATAACTGGGTGTCAAAGGCAGATGGGATACACAGAAAGAGTCCCTTGTGTGTTTCTCAAAACAGAACAGAATGTCTCTCACACACACACACACACACACACACACACACACACACGCATTCAGTCAATTTTGGCCACATGTCCACTTTCACATAAATCTGTAGTTCATGTGCTTCTCTGCTGGTTTATGTTAAGAATATAGAATATGCTCTCATGCTTCCAAACCACTGTCTCAAAAAATCATTTGTTCCCTTTCAGTCGGTCACTCTCGACGTCATGTCGGATGACCGACGAATTGGGATCTCACTTAGAGATACCAATCTACTTCGAGTGTAAACTAAACGAGCCAATGCACATTGGCATGCGATTATTGCATCCAGCTGCTGCTGATCACAGCGTGAGTATAAGTAGGCAGCAGATGCAGCGCATATTCAGCTTTTCGCTAGTTTTTTTTTTTTACTTGCTAATGTCCAATATATTGGGACATTATGATCAAATATCATAATAGAATGGTGGGAATTCTTAGAGTGTGATATAGGATTTTAAAATGATCTATTGCAGTTAATTTTCCTCAAAAAAGTATCTAAATTTTCTCATCCACCTATTTTATTTCGTAACTTCCCATATCGGCAGTGAATGTGCGGAAAACAGGAAAAGGAAGTATTGAATTGCATTCTTATCACGTCAAAATAGACAAAACAGAAATATACAAATAAATAGTGCACGATGTCAGATATCTGAAATATGAGAGTTCATGCACTGGGAGAGATGCATTTGGGTGAATCAACGTAAACTGAAGTCTTAATTATGCTGAGACGGTTGTTGGTTGAATGACAAATTAAACTCGTAGCATCTGACAGCAGATGGATAACACACAATACCCAGCAATGGAGGGAAAGTCCACATGCTAATTGTCTTGAGGTCTGTTGGGCCATCAATCACTTAGAGCTCTACAGCAGCATGCAGTCTATGGCAGTGATGTAAAAGCATGCCTGCCATCATGTAATATCATTAGCTATATGTTATATTCAATCAAGTAAAACATTTCTGCTAAAACTAAATCAAACACACAAAAACCTGATAAATGTATGTGTGATTAAATATGAAAGGGCATATATGATGATTATTCATTAATTAATAGAGGTCGCGGATGTTCTCTCTCATGCATTAATTACACCCTCATTAGCATATCAATTAGATGAATCAGAGATCATGTAATTAAAGCCCAAGTATAGGAGCACCTGCTGCCGCTGTTTATGTTTGTGTATGTGATAACATGCCTTTGGCTGAGCATACACTTGTCAATCAATCGCCTCTTTATTCTGTTTGCCTCTGATGGAATCTTTCATATTTAGATATTTTAGATATTTATTATATTTTTAAAACTCGCCTTCCTCAATATTTCCGATTTAGAATAGAACATTCTATTATGACATTCTATAAAGTAATACAATAAATGAATTCAGTTCAATAATAATTATTTTGTGATTTTCAAGGTATGCGCCATAGCTTCACAAAAGAACATATCTTTATTTGTTTTTGTGAGTTTAGCACACAAAATCTAATACAATCTAAAATACTTTTTAGCTCATGATCAGCAGTCCTCATCACTTCTGGTATGGGTCCATCTGCTGGCCACAAGATGTTTGAGCAACACAATTCTGATGATTGTTTGTGACTATCACATTGCAGTTAAATACAAAATGCATAATGTAAGTGCATTTTCAAATGTAAGAACTGTAGCCAGTATTATTGCATAGTTACATTTACATCTGCATTCCAACTCAAACTCATGAGGTAAAATATGTAATATTATTAGTAACTGCGGTGAAAAAATTGTAATATTGTGATTATTTGTTTCTGTACTACTCGCCTCCCAATATGATATTTATCTTAACTAATAATATTCTTGAAGCACCTAAGTCATATTATTTAATAATAATAATAATAATAATAAAGTCTAACATGTAAAATATGTGTATTTTTTGTAATGTTTCCTCTCTTCCCTGACTTATAACTGGTCACTGTTCAGTTATCGCAGCTGTTTTCCCGTTGGTCTGTTTTTAATTAAGACCTGAATAGAGTCAACCCGGTGAATGTTCACCTGTCTGTTGTAGTCTCATAAGCCCATTAATATGATCTCCCATAAAAAAAAAAGCTGTTTGGTATACCATGCTAATAGTAAGAATGTTATTTTTGTTTTTGCAACATTAAGTATACTTGTTATGGTATGTAAATTCTCTGTATGGGTAGAAAGCATGTGACCCTACTGCATGTAAAAGGTTCTCTAAACCTTCTCTTGGAGAACTACATTTCTGCAACACTGCTTCAAGACACTTTCAGTTATTTTCAAGAAGCCCTGAAGACCTTGATTAGCTTGTTCAGGTGATTGAATAGGGTTGGAGCTGAACTCAGCAGGACAGTAGCGCTCCAGGAGCAGGGTTCCCTGAACAACAACCCCTGTTTTAGGATATGCATTTACAAAAGTACACATTGCATGGAATGCTTATACCACAGTGTAATGTGATTGATTGGGCCGTTGCATGTGCAATGAATGAACTGGATGCTATTACAGCTGCAGTCTTTTTTTATTCTTCATTTAAGTCATACTACCAAAAGCTTTCCAAACAGCATTTCTATGGATTATTTAAGAAAACAAAACAATATAAACTAAAATGATCAACAGTATTTGCATACAAATGTTACATTCTTCATGTTACATAATTTGAACAAACTACAACTTGTAGGCTTTATTAGTACACGTTTTTTGTTTTGTTGTTTTTGTGTTGGCATGGGTTATGGAACCTTGATTTACCTTGTATATGACCTTTAGTAACTAAATTACCAAATTTATAATGGCTGTAATTTAAAGGGGTCATATAATGCAATTTCAAGTTTTCCTTTCTCTTTGGAGTGTTACAAGCTGTTCGTGAATAGATAAGATCTGTAAAGTTGCAAAGACTAAAGTCTCAAACCCAAAGAGATATTCTTTATAAAAGTTAAGACTGGTCCACGCCCTCCTAAAACACCTCGTTTAAACACGCCCCCACATGTCTACGTCACTGTGTGGGAAGATTTGCATAACGCCGCCCAAATGTTCACGCAAAGAAAGAAGGCGTAACTTTTATT